TACTTTTTAATCACACTCCCTAAATAGGTGTGATTGTATAAAATATTTCAATTCAATTTTTATATAAAATATACAATTCCCAAATCAAAGGTCTTTCTTTATGTAGTTTGGGAGGTGAGTTTTTATGTATTTTTTTAGTTGTAGGGTTTTATTAGAGAAAATTTTTTTAGTATTTAAAAAGATAGTTAAGTTTTTTTGTGGTTAGATGTGATGTTTGTGAGAGAAAAAGTAAAATAATTATGAAATTAGATGTGATATTTTGTTTAAATTTATTTTTTTAATTTTGTAAAAAATTTGTCTTTTAGTGAAAAAAACAAAAAAAAAAACCTCAACACACAAACCTCCCAAACACCACCCAAAAATCAAATATTTTGAGTAAACAATATAGAAGGGCCCAAACCAATCTTGATCGAAATTCAACCACACTCATACAGTCCCACTAGGGTTTTTAAGACTTGTACTACGCAACTTACACTTATCTCTGCCGCTCCGGCTAGGGTTTACAGACCCCCCCCTCCAAATTTTTGTCTCTCTTTCTCTCTCTCTCTAAGTTTATTGTTGTTGTAAGATCTAATTATGGAGTTAACCAATAACTAGGGTTTCCTGGTTGCTTCTGAAACTCCAAAAGCTTCGAGCTTTTACATCGCTATGTATCTGTAAAAACATATATCGAACTATATAACAATGGCGACCACAAACCCTTTTGATCTTCTCGGCGATGATGACAACGACGACCCCAATCAGCTCCTCCAGAAGCTCCCTCCCCCTCCGAAGAAAGCCCCAGCTCCGGCTCAGTCCGCCGCCGCTACTCAGCCAGCTAAGCTGCCCTCCAAGCCTCTCCCTCCAGCTCAGGCCGGTAAAGCCTCTGATTTAGACTCTCTCTCTCTCTCTCTCTATCTATCTCTCTCTTCATTTCCAAATCATATGCTTAAGATCGATGTGTTTGTGCATCTGTATGTATAGGTGTTTTTATACAATATACATGTGTACATATTGTGTGTTATGTTTTGATATATGGTGGAAATGGAATGAAAATGAAATTCAGATTATTGAGGTTCATCTTTGAATGAAAAAAAGTTGTGTTTTTGGTGTGAGGTTGCTGAGAAAATGGAGGAAATTAAAAGATTTGAATTCATGAAGAGGAGATTTAGAATTCTCATATATGTTATTTGCAAAATTTTCTACAGATACTTTATAGGAGGTAGAAAAAAATAAAAGAATACATTTGGATGTATTCATGTTCTTTGATATTGCTAGCATTGGACTTTTACAAATTCTACCATGGTTACCATCACCATCATGGTAGTTTCTAAAACAAAGTACCTTGGTACATTGTCATTTTCTGAAATGAAGAATAGATTTACTGGTGGATCTTGTGCTTTATTTAGTACTTAAAGTCATCCTTAAGAAAGGTTCCTATTTCATTATTTATTTATTTTTCCTTTTTGAAATGTTTCTGAATTAGATCTTTGATTAGACAGTCATACAAGCAGTTGGCAGCTCTTCCTTTATATAAAATATACAATTTGAAATTTTTCCTTTTTGAAATGTTTCTTTTATTTGTGGTGTTTGGCTTGGGGTTTGATCTTGTTGTAATATGCACCTTTATATTTTCTTTCTTAATCTATTTGATCTCTTCATTCATGAATGGTGCAGATTTCTATTATACTTTTTTGTCATAAATTCCTCAAAACTCTCATCAAAATACACCCTTGACATAACTAGAGTATCTTGTGAAATTCATATTTTATTTGTTCCTCAATATTTACTCTCTAGACACATCCCATTTTATTGGTACTTCACTTCAGCACTTCCCCGCTCGTTGCTTGGTTCATATCCTCTCTTTTTGGTGAGTCTAGAAACTGATATAAAAAGCTAGTTCTTGCCTTGCTAGGCATCTCATTCTTGTGTATATGCTAGTTGTTCAGTCACAGTGTGATGAGATATGCTTGCTGCTTAGATTGGATGTCTACATTTTTCAGATTCTTCTCTATTCACTACTAGAAAAAGTAGATATAACCACATTTTTTTCGTGGCATTTTTTTTTTTGTAAATGTCGCTAGATCTGTTAACCAATCTTTTAAATTCCTGATGACGGTGGGATAACCCTCCTCCAGCCCAGCCAGAGATCCACCCTGCCTCCTAAGAGAGGTGATGTGCTCATGCAAATCCTTGTTGGCTACTAGTTTGATTTCATTCATACCACTTCTCTACCACTAGTAGTATTTTTTCCAAGTATTTTAATATCTATGTTTTGGGTATTGTTGTGTTGTTTTTCTCCTTTCTCCAACCTGAATTGTAGTGGTGAAAGATACTCTATTCTCAAATGTTTGTTATTTGTCCTTAAAAACACTCATAATTAGTGGATTACATGTGAATCTCAGGTGTATGAGAATTTAAAACATATCCATTGATAGGGAAGTTGTGCCAAAAAGGAGTGAAGTTTGCAAGTTCACTGAATGAATTTTATATGTTGCATGAATCTGGCTATCAGTCTCTTGCCTTGATATGAAAAGCTTAATTGTAGTATTTGAGTGCTACGTTTGGTCTTTAATTTTAAAGGCAAATTACCCTTGTAGTTATTGTAATTTCACTCTTATGTTGATAATTTGGTCATTTAGTTCTATTTTCCTTGACCAAAAAAAAAAATAATAATAATTTCTTACCATGTTACAATTTAATGCAATTGATTATGCATATTGTAGAAATTGGGTTTAGATGAAATTTGGTGATTATGGTGTTAGACATCCAATTTGAAACAAATTTTACAACCACTTTTACCACTACCATAGTTGGTGGAACTTATCTGTGAGGTGAGTATCCAATGCTTTGCAAATGTTATTTCATTGTATAAACAGCGCATTACCATTGTGAAGGTCATTGAGAATGAGTGGTTTAAGAAGGGATATAAGCCTCCTATTTTTGCAAACGAGGATGTTAGTCTCGATGATGTGGATGCTATTTTCAATGAATCAAGGGTAACTATATCTTGCTTACAATTTCAGTCAAAAAATATTAGATCATCTACCCTTTCGGTTAGTATTGAGGAATAGGGCATTGGGGGTGACTTTAATTGTGATTTTTGTTTTGATGTACAGGACACTCAAAACCTTGTCGTGGAAAGACGGGAAGAACAACCTGTGAATCCTGTCTCTATGAACGCTTTTGAATACTTATATCTAAATCTCAGGGTCTTAACCTCAGTTCTCTGTTTGAAAAGCAAATGGTATGTCAAAGGCATATAGTTTTTTGATTGTTATGTTTTGGTAGCCGAGCTATCAGATGCAGAGATCTTTAGAATCTGAGCATTCCATGCATTTTTGTCAGTTAAGTTAGAGTTCCTATCTCATATCATGAATGAACCAGCTGATATTTAGTTATTGGTCACCTAAATATGCCAATTCAAGTAACTCAATATTTTGGTTTTTATGTTTTGTGCTTTTGTTTTTCTTTTCTCTTTTTAGTTTCTAATGATAACAATTGATTTTTGTTTGGCAGGTGAAACGATGACAACCTTTCTCAGTGATAAATGTACTAAGTTATTGTATGAACAGTACAAAACTAGGTTATTTGAAGCCACTGCAAGTACCAGTTAATGCATTATTTACTAAGCTGATATATATATATACTTTAATTCTCGTTGTTTTTATGACTACAAGTTGCATCATGCAATTTTGGATTTTTGTTTTTATATTTTTTTTAACCTGTTTTCATTATTCATACTGATCATCAAGCCATCCAAATTGTCCCTTGTATGCAGAATGGCAGTGCTGCTCCAAAGTCACGCATTCCTCAAATGGTTGCTCAAACACTGGGTTTTGGCCAAAAACATGATGCAACTGTTGATATACCGTTGGATTCAATGAATGTAATCAATTTACAGTTTGAATTTATATTGTTTCATAGTATTGGGAGCACTGAGTTGTATATCATGTGGTGTGATATGGCAGGATCCTAAGAAAAGGGAGAAGGAACTTGCAGCTTGGGAAGTGGATCTAAAAAGGAGAGAACGTGTTAGTTTTGCCTTTCATTATCGAGAATATACTTGCAACTGTACCTCATAAATCTGTTTGTATTTTCTTATTTGTAAATTACTTATTTGACTGCCTTCAAAATAACAACCATAGTTCTTCATGATTTGATGACGACTTCTTTAGATGTTGCCATTATCTCAATATATATATATTGATTGTGTACACTTTTTAAGATATTTATATACTTGTTTTCAATAGTACTGATGCATGCTATATTTTTCAGGAAATTAAACGAAGGGAAGATACTGTTTCCAGTGGTAAGCCATGAGATGAAGGCCAATACGTATATATTGCTTTGAGAATAGTTTTATATGCTTTTCCTGGATAATGATATTTTTCTGATTTATTTCTTCTAATATTGCATTTTCAGCTGGTGTCCCTTCAGATGATAAAAACTAGCCTCCATGTTTCCCAATTATTCATCATGATATAGGCAATGAAATTCTTGTTCATGCTCAGAAGTTGCAGTATCTGGCTTTTGCAAGTTGGTTAGGTATAGATGGCTTCATTTTTCTAATTTGAACATTTTCCTTATTCCTTTTATGTGTCGACTTCTGAGTTTGATCACCATATACTGGCAATACTGCTGTCTTAGCTAGTTGCTTTCTTTAAGAAACACCCCCTCCCTGCCTCTGGGCTGCCAAATGAATGAAATAATAAAATAAAGTGAAAATCAATACTCATCACCTGTTCATTTTTCATAGATGAGTTTCTGATATATGAATACACATGATCAAATTACTGTTTTTTTACTTTATTGACTGCCTGAATATCAATGAAGTGCTGATCGTCCAGCATGATTTATTATATGTTTTAGTTGAGTTTAAATATAGAGGATAGTTTCATGACAACTAAAGTGACTTAATATGCTTATTCCTACACCACCTCCACCATCACGACCACCACCAGAAAGAAGTCTTGCAAGGTTAATATTCGAAATTGGATGATACAAGAGTAAATTTTTTTCCTCCTTTTTTCATTTTTATAGTCTTTCTGATATAACTTTGGTAAGAAGACTTCAATTGATCTGCATTTCTTTTATATATAACTTAGCCTGTTTCACTGATATTTTTTTCCCCTTTACACCACTTGCCATTGCAGGCATAGTTCTTTGCCTTGTATTTAATGTTATTGCTGTGATAGTTTGTTGGATTAGAGGTGGAGGTAAGGTTTCTAATATTTTCTTTTCTTCCGTACTTTGGGCATATGCATAAAAGTGTTGACAGGTTACAATATAGAACTTCTGACGTGGTCACTATTTCCAGGTGTAAAAATATTTTTCCTGGCAACAATCTATGCTCTACTTGGATGCCCTCTTTCATATGTCCTATGGTGTAGGCCACTTTACCATGCAATGAGGTATTCAACTATTCTTGCTCTCGCTTTTCATTTCCCAATTTCATCCCGTGCCATCTGTGGGAAATTTCAAAATTCATGTACACTTTTTTCCGGGGGGGAGGGACGTCAGTTGGCCTCCCCATGCACCATAATCCCTTTAACCTGGTAGGCTTCAATCCTAGGCCTCTTATATGACTACTAATGCTTGGCCAGGTATTTTAAGATAATAATGTATTTTCTTTATGATTTTTCATACGCTTGTGCCAGCTGTTAGTGTTTGCACTTATTCTTTGGTAGACAGACATGCATGAAATGGGTAGTTGTTTTCTCTTCTTTTTCCTCCAAAGGTGCAAAAGAAAATGCAGCCTCTGCTTCTCCAAAACCTGCTGTTGCTGGTGATAGTAACCCCTCCCCACCCCCACCAAAAAAAAATGGAGTAAATTCTGGAGTTTTTATTTATTTATTTATGGGTACCTAGAATTATGGTTCAACAGTAATAATAATATGCATTCACAAAAAGATCGTACACAAGCTGTATTAAGATTTCTCATTTTTAAATACTGTGCTCATTAGTGTCCTCCTAATTACAATGTCATTGACACTGAGCTGCTATGGCATCTAATTGTTAACAGGGAAGTTATTTCCAAAAGGATTAAGATCAAGCAGAAATGATTAATGTTCCTATTTTGGTTTGCTGAATTAACTTTTTAGTTTATTCATATGCATCAGCGGTTTTTGGATTAATTTGTGTTTTCATTTTTCAGGTCAGAATTTTTTGGAGAGATGCAAAATATGGTCCAAGAATTAAAGAAATTGTTTTTTAAGTTTTTTCATTTTTTAATATATGTAAGCATAGTTAATTTTTTTTTATTTAATTCCTTTGTATATAGCTTTGAATATTTAATTTCCATTTATGAAATATATGACGTTATTCTATTCAATATATAGTTATGATTGAAAATATAGTATATAGTGTGTATTACATTCTTCAAATGTGTATACAAAAATAATATTGATTATTTTTCAAATATGTCGAATCCTTTTTTTATCACAGATTTTATTAGTTATTAATCACACTTAAAAGATGTGATCTAAATGTTATTAATCACACTTAAAAGATGTGATGCAAATATTATTAATCACACTTAAAAGATGTGATCTAAATGTTATTAATCACACTTAAAAAGTGTGATTAAAAATGACCCTTTTTAATCACACTTCCAAAGATCACACTTTTTAAGTGTGATCTAAATATTTTTAATCACACTTAAAAAGTGTGATCTAAGTATTTTTAATCACACTTAAAAGATGTGATCAAAATATTTTTAATCACACTTAAAAGATGTGATCTAAATGTTATTAAGCACACTTAAAAAGTGTGATTAAAAATGACCCCTTTTAATCACACTCCCAAAGATCACACTTTAATAAAATTTAAAAGGTGTGATTAAATAACATACATCACACAAAAAAAGTGTAATCTTTATCTGTTTTTGTAGTAGTGGCATGTGTTGCATTAGACACTTAACGTAGTTAGGATCATGCATTTTTCTAACTAATTTCTGTTTTGGCTTGCAGTACTCGGTGAGTTTTATGCTTTAGCATACTTGCATGAGTGTGATTGCCATATTGCCATGATTCGCATGCTTGCCATGAGGCTATGTGCTTGCTTTCTTGACTGCATGAATGCCTGTGGATGAAGGCTTCTTGTTTGACTTGGAACGATTCAACGAATGTATGTTTTAAGCCTACTTTGTTGTGGAAAAATCATGTTTTAAGCCCACTATATTTGGTGGCAAAATCCACATCTTTAAGCCCACTCGAGGGTGGCGAATTCAAACCATTTTCGCAAACAAACATGAGTTGTATTGTTCCAAGTCTTGCGACTAGTCTATACTTGCTTGTGCGCATCACATAGTAAAACTAGTTTAATAATCGGAACAAGAGGACATAATGTTTATAAAACTGCACATCATGATTAGTAGAGGCCGATCTTTGATCGGGCGAGCAGGAGGTGCTCAGTACAAGACCTTTCCCTCTCGTACCTAAGTTCCTGAGCCGAGGCAACTTTGGTGATGACGGACACGTGGCCTTTGGCATGAGTCAGGGTTTCCTAAATTTCCCTAAAACAAAATATTTAGGTGGCGACTCTGTAATCTAACAAAACAGTCCAATTTTGGTACTATTTGATTAAAAAATCGATTTTCGAAAAAGGTTTGCCGGATTTTGACTCTTTGGTGATTATAAGTTTCACATTGCACTTTGTGAGATTAGATTCAGAACCGTGGAAGTCTGAACTGTGAGGCCTTCTTTTCAAACCTTTTTCGAAAGGCGGAGTGCAGAAAAAGGCGAGTCCATGGGGCCGTAAAACACGGATCTCTATCCGAAAAAATCGTCACTAGGACCCCGTGCAACCTCACTATGTTCCGAATATACAAGTCGTCAACGAAATCTACTGAGTCACACACATGCGTAGGTATAAAATGCGCCGACTTGGTCAACAAGTCAACTACCGCCCAAATGGAATCACTACCCCGTTGAGTCCTCGGAAGGCCCACAACAAAATCCATCATGACATGCTCCCATTTCCACTCGGCCATAGGCAAGGGTTGGAACAAACTCGCTAGCCTTTGATGTTTGGCCTTCACTTGTTGGCAAATAAGGCACCTCGACACAAATACCGCCACATCCTTCTTCATACCCCTCCACCAAAACTGGCGACTGAGGTCGTGATACATCTTTGTTCCTCCTGGCTGCACCACAAGGCGTGAATGATGAAACTCTCGGAGTACTTCCTCTCGACAAGGCTTTGATACGAATAAACGGTTACGGTATGTCGCTGAGGTCGGGATACGCATTCAAGCCTCTTTCTACTTTCCCATTGGAGATCTTCTCCCAGAGGGATTCTATCTCAAGGTCACCCTCCTGTGCTTTTATCACTCGGTTCACAAGTGCGGGCTACGCAACCACCGAAAACAAAGCGTATAGCAATCTTGGTTTTGAACTGACACTTGTGGTAGTCTAGACTCGGGTTTCATGGTTCAATGTTGATGTTCATATCTTATTCCCCTTGTTGTTCCTTGGATTGACCATTTAGATTGTAGTTGTGTGTTTGGAACAGGTCAGTTGCTTGTTTTTCTAAACCTTTGTTAACAGGATTTTCGCTCCGCTGCTCGAGCATCCATTTTCATGCTCGAGCGGGTTTTGTAATTCTGCTTCTCCGCTCAAGTGACAATTCTTGCTCTCGAGCGGGATTTGTAAACTCTCAATATTTTCTTTTGCAGACCTGCAAATACTGGATGAGTGTATTCTACGCTCAAGCGGTGTTTCCTACGCTCGAGCGAGTGGATGCTTGAGCATCCAATCTTGCGCTTGAGCGATATCCTTCGTCTGCAAAACTTCTGAAAGTGTGCATTCTACACTCAAGCATCACTGATTACGCTCGAGAGCAACATTGTGTCTTACGCTCGAGCGTCACTTTCCACACTCGAGCAAATTGCGTATATAACAGTCTGTGAAAATGATCTTTTTCATCACTTTTTTCATTCCTCTCTCTCTCTGAAAATTTCCAACAAACCTGGATCTTGAGTTTCTCTCTACAAATCATCTTTTCTCTACTATTTCATTTAGATCTGTTGAGGTCTTCACCCAAGTGCCTTTGAGAAAAGGGTAGAGCACGTCAATAGCTACATTTTGATCCGAATCATCTTTGGTTTCAGCATCTTCGGAGTTTCTCCACTTCTCCTTTGGTCTCCTAACTTCGAGGTAGGGCTCTCTACACACCTTAATATGGGTGTTAACTTGGTTATAGGTTGTTGTGTGAAAATGGACCTTGACCCTACATAGTCCATGAACACAAAAGGGCCACCAACAATTCAATCCGTTCTTAAATTCAAATTTTCCTCTTTAGGCTTTATTCTCATCTCTTTAACTCAATTACAATGCTCAATGCATGCCTAAGAGTACTTAGAAGTGAAGGAGAACAGAAAATGAAACACAGAACGTCTT